CTTCCGGGGCCTTCTTAACTCTCCAAACGCAGCCGCCCAACTTTCTCAAAAATGACGCCCGCGACGGCCGCGTGGCGTGGCGTAGCGGCCGAAAGGCGGCGGCGTGTGGCGTCGGGTTAAAAACCGAGCAAGTCGTCCAAACTTTACCGAATAAATTATTAAGTCTAATCAAAAGCACCGGAGCCGCGGTGACGTCAGACGGCAGGCCCCCGCCGGGATAATTTACTCTCCTTTCCCCGTCATCCATTTTCTTCATTCTTTTTGTTTTAATCCTTCCCGCCGGTGGCGGCGCCGGCACACAAACCACGCCTGCACATCGGGACGTGACTCCGCGCAGTAAACGGGTGTTGTTCACGTCCACCCGCGAGGCTGCGGCGAGGCTGCCCAGAGAGCAACGCGAGAGAAAACACGCGACTTGCTGCGCGCCAAATCGGGCGACATCGGCGTGGCCGGCGGGCGGGGCGGCGGGGCCCAGGCCCAGGACGGGCAAGAGCCGGGGAGGTGGGCCACCCGCGCGCACCACTGCGCACCGGCTGCCTACCCGCGCGCCTGCTGTCGCTGTCCAGGCATCGCTCGTCTCTCTGTCTCTGTCGTTCTCTTTCCGCCCCCCGTCCTCTCTCCCTCCGGCATTTACACCGATAATACCCCGCCCATGGCCCGGCGTGCTTTGTTGCTTTTCGAGCAGTTCCGAGCCATCTACCCATCTACCTATCCCACCCACGTCGCGGCACGGTCGCCCCTGGTCCCCTCCCCCGCTCCTCGGGCCCCGCGGCGGGCACGACTCGCTCGGCCGGCCGGCAAGCTAGACCCCTCCCTTTCCCCCCTCTCTCTCTCTCTCTCCCTCCTCACCCTGCTCTCCTTTTTACCCTTTTCTTCCTGCGTCATGACGTCTACCCCAATATGTCCGTCTGTCTTTCCGCCCAGACCGTATCCGTAGTGGTCAGTCTGTCCCTCTCCATTTCACCCGGCTCCGGACACAGCCTCCCTCGCTCCATCTCGCTTGCTCGCTCTCACGAGATACGCACGATGGTGAGTCACCCAGCATCACACGCACACTGCTCTCTCTCCCTCCTCGACGAGAGAGAGAGAGAGAGAAACCGTAGCCCAACCAACATTTGATTCCAAGGATTGGGACCCGGGCCTTTGCGCTCGGCCCCCATATCGGTCCCTTACTTTCACAAGGCGTCAGATTTAGGCCAGGGCGCATTTGTTTGCTGTGTCTGCAACGCACGGCAAACGTATCCACACAGCGAAAAAAACGAGGGGTGAATAACTCGCCTAAGTGTACACCCCTCACCCCAAATTCAGTTCAATTCAAACTTATTCAAACCAATTCAATTTAATTCAACACCTTTCAGAGGAAATTCAAAAACAGTTCAATCAATTCGATCCAATTCTAGTTAATTCAAGCCAATTCACGTCAATTCACGCTAATTCATTAAAATAAAATCGCTATAATTCAAACCAATTCAATCAATTCCAGCCAATTCAAATTCAATTATTCACAAAATTTGTACACCTGATTCAGGATTTATTCACCCCTCGGAACAAACACGGTCGAAAACATGCAATACATTATTCTGCAGTTTTAGTTGGGACATGGAATGATACGGTCACGAGCAGCTGGGCGCTCCTGAGCTCACGCAGCCTCCTCGTCCCCACGGAGGAGGCGCCGACGTGCACCCCGGGCCGACGGCGGCCGCGCGCGAGCCAATGAATCACGGAGAGGAGGGATATTTTGAAAGCGTTATGGCCCTGCCCGCTCGCCCGGATACCGTAGGGTACCCGGAGCCGCGCCGGATCAAACATAAATATTTTTTCTGTAACGCGTCCAGGGGATTTCTGGCGGTGCTTTGTCACGCTGTGCAAACAGATGCATTTCTCAAGGCGGAGTCCCCACCTCCCCTTCTCTCCCGTGGGTCGGCGCAGGCGTAGCGCGGACCGTTCTGGCACTGGCCCGTATCACGCATGCACAAACGCACACGCAAACACACACGGACACACGCACACATACACACACACACGACCTCTACATCTCTCTCTGTCGCACACAACACTCACACATGCGCATACAACATATATACATGGAGCGCCGCGGCGAGCGAGAGGTGCAAACGAAAACCGCTGCGTTGGTCCCTGCAGCATGTTTCCTTATACGGAGGAGGACGCTGCCGCCCCCGCCCGCCCGCTCCTTCCGCTGCGAGCCGTTTTCGGGACCACAAAGTCGGATCAACACGTCTAGGGATGATGAATGGCTGGCGCGCCCCGCCGGCGGAGCGCGAGGCGCGAGCGAGGTCCGGAACGGCGGGGCGGCGCGGGGCGAGGCGAGGCGCCGCAGCCTATTGCACGGCACCGCGAACCACGCCAGGGTTCAGGCCGCGTCGGTCGCCCGTTGGTAAACCCCGCCGGTCACCCCGCCGGTCACCCCGTCGGTCGCACGCTGGTGACGTGACGGACGGTCCCCCGTGCTGCCCTGCCGGCCCTGCCCTGCACGACGTTCCCAGGAGGAGGCTGGCTGCACGGCGGTGACGCGCGGCGGGACAATGGTCATTGTTGGCACACCGCAGGCATGGACCGGGGGGGGGGGGGCAAGCAACATCAATAACGCGTGAATGAGGGTTAATTCCGCGGCCGCGGGACGGGTGCCTCGCCGCGGCACCACACCAGCGCCATTGGCTCCAGTCCGACCCGACCACAGGAACGCCCCGCCCCGCCGCTGCGCGCCCGAGCCTGATTCGGTCCGGGGTCAGGGCGGGACGGGGTTGGGCCAGGTTATGATATGCAGGGAGTGACTAAGTGAGTGTTAACAAGAGAGTGCGTGTGGGAAGGAGCGCCTTTGTGGCCGGCGCCGAGGGGTCCCGCCGGGGTCGGGCCGGCACTCAAGGGGTCGGGGCATGGGCAGCGCATAGGGCTGGAGGGGCATTCCTAAACGTGGGACCGGGCTCCGCCGGGCTCGGTGAGACCCCCCCGTGGTCAGTGCTGGTGAGCTGGCCGAGCTCCGGCCCCACCCCCGAGAGGGTCGTGCTGGCCCGTGCTCGCCCCGGGCGGGACCCCGCCCGCTGGGCGCCCAAGGCGCGGCGGCTCAACAAATAGGTGGCCGGGATGCCGATCGAATGAGAAATCAACACGTCCAGGGCGGGCGGGGCGAGCGGCGGCGGCGGCGGCGTCTAGGGGTCGGCGGCGAACAATTATAGGGAGTTAAGAGCGGCGCGGCCGAGCGCGGCCTGTGGTCCGGCCGGGCTGCGTCATCTCCGGGTCCCCGGGCCGCAGTCGCAGCACAAAGGCACGACACGGCTAAACTAGATTCAACTCTCTTGTTGCACTTGATGATGAGCTAAACCGTCTAGTGCATCATCGTGACCTTCCTGAGCATTGTGCAGACACCGGGCGGGCTTAAACACACACGGGTGACCGCACCGCAGCCGCACGGTATGTGTGGAAGGCTGTACTTAGCGGAACGCACGCACGCGGCCGGCCTGTGCAACAAAGTAGGGGAGCCCAGGGGAGCGGGCGCGGTGTCACCCGGACGGTGGACTTGGCGTGCGCGGCGCGCTGCGAGGCAAGGCTGTCGGTCGCCGGCCTGCCTGCACGCAGGGTGGGCCGCGGCCACGCAAGCAAGCCGAGCCAGCAGCCGAGCCCCGCGCAACCGCGGCGCATGACACCGCGGCCACACGGCGCCTCTAGCGTGGCGCCCGGGCCCGCCCAGCACCTGTACGACGGCCGTCTCCCTCAGCGCAACCGGTTGGGTGGAAGAAGTAGGCCCGGGGTGCGCGGGGCGGCCTGCATGCCGAGAGTCTTCCGCCGGTATCACTGCCGCGGGGCGCTCTAGGGCTCGCGGTGCAACGGCCGCTCGCTGGGCTCGGGCTGCCTCCCCCTCCGATAAAGCTCGCTAATACGCCCCCGCCCCGCCCCGCCCGGCCGCAGCGTCCAACTGCCGAAGCTAATTATTATTTCTTTGGATTTCCCGCCGCTCGGCCGGTTGCCGCGCGCCGCGCACCGACCTGCCAGCCAATGCTGGCCAATTAGCACGGAACGAGCGGACGTGGAGGTGATGTGATGTGATTCCAACCAACCTCCTCTGTCCGGGGCGGGGCGGGGCGGGGTCGGGGCGCTACCAACCAATCGCGCTGAATAATAAGGGGTTGGCACCTCGGCGAAGCTAACCGAGGAAGGCAACGAGGGGAGGAACGTCCCGGTCAGCGTCCGGCGGCGCGGACCCGTAGAGCTGGAGCTCGCCGACGACCGCCCTGCGCGCCACCTCATCACGACCTCGGCCTCGGTGCAGCACATGACCCTCCCCGACGGCGAACTGACCCTGTGCATGCGCCTTGCCTGGCGTTGCCCCGCCCCGCACGGCGCGGCCGACAAACGTGTAAACGACGTGAGAAAATCGGTATGGTATGGGCTGCCTCCTGGGATGGGTGGGGGAGGAGGGAGCGAGGGAGTGGTCAAGCCGTGGCCAGTACTGAGCGCGGTGCGGGCGGAACCCCCTGTTCATTCAGTGCGGGCCTGGCGGGGCGGGGCGGGGCGGGGCGGGCCGTGGCGGGGCATGCGGAACACTGATTGCTTTGTTTGCCCGGGGCGCTCGTTTCGGCTCGGCTCGGCTCCTTTAAGCCCCGGCGATGCTCCGCTCGTATCTCTCGTTCAGACCTACAATTGATCATGAAAGGCTCCTCTCATTACAGGCCGGCTTGACCTTTGAGCCTCAAAGTGTGCAACTCCGCTCCTCACATTTTTTTTACACGTCCGCGTCATCTGCTTTGAACTTATCGACCCCGAAAAATCGCAAGCCGGCGTTGCATCACGTCTGCATCATAGCCTTAATGTTGCACGCAGAGAAATGTTTTTTCTTTGTTACTGTGAAAATAAAGCATGCACGATGTGAATTCCAGAGTTGGCAAACACGCCTCTTCCTATCTAACTCCGGAAACATTATTTGTGTCTTAATGATTGTTTCTATTTTAACCATGACTAAAGATGTCCTTTCTCATCTGTTGCAGGTGGAGAGCAGCGGGGCGTGGCGCGGCGCGGCGGGGCAGGCGGGGCCATGCCCTGATCGGGCCATGACTGCCGAGTTGCCCGTGTGGGTGTTTGGCCGGTGCCGTTGGGTGAGCGGGGTGTGCCGGCGCACAACATGCCAGGATGTGCTGGAGGCGGTGCTGACCGCCCCCACCCCCGCCCCCGCGGACCAGGACCCCGCGCCGGGGGCGGGGCCGGCGGGGCCAGGGGGTCACTTCGACCCGGCAGCCTATGTCATCGTGGAGCGATGGAAGGGCGTGGAGCGCAGGCTAGACGGCCGCGTGCGCATCCTCAAGGTAAGCATCACCAAAGTACTGCACAAATTTGGTCAGCCAGTGAGGAGTTTTTACGAGAAAGGAAATAAGGACTCTCGCGACCAGCCTGCGACCACCTGTGCTTGGCCGAGGCTTTGTGACGTCCGGGAGCAGATGATATTCCTGGTCTTTTCGTACAATATCTCATTCCAAAATAAAGTCCGAAACTCCGCAAAATTTGTTAAGAAACCATTAAGCTGATGAAGTTTTACAATTTTTCACTAAACGAACAGTTTGACCTTTTATTCTTCACACTTCGCACTAGTACCGAGTAGGCCACAGACCACCTCAACACTGTTTCATGGGAAGTAGTTGTCTGAACAGACATCAAGCGAAGAGTTCGCGAGGCCGAGCGCGGTCTTATGGCTGTGTGACTACGACTGGCATAAAGGCAGCATAGGTCTTAGCGGCGCATACCACGTAAATACAATAAAAACTCGGCGCATCTTTTACAGCGAGATTCAGGGCTAGTCAAAACCGAAGCGTGAGAACGTTGAAAGGGTTAACAACCCGGACTCGACCCTCTCTCTGAGGCCCGGCCGGCCGCCCCGCTGGCCTACAGCAGGCAGCCGGGGCCGGTCTGGGCATCACAGGTGTGAACAGGGAGGTTAGCAACACACTGGGCTCTTTGACGTATGCCTACTCACCTACTCACCACCTGATGAAACTGCTGTGATGACTGAAGTTCAGCTCGGGATTGATGATTCAATAATGCAGCACATCAGGAATATGCTGGGAGAGATTTGAATAATGCATTGTTCGGGCATGTCACGTTCGGTAAATGTCGATAGACAGATCTATCGGTGATAATTGCAATCAGACACACTAGTTAGTAAACTGAAGCACTAATAAGGTGATAATACGCACGACCGGCATTCGGGCATTCGACCGGCACGAACACGCACGTACCACACGCACTGACAGTGTTGCCAGATTCGAAGAGGGCAGTTGCGGACCGCCGGAGCTCAAAATGCGGATTTGGGGATTCAAATGCGGAAAAAGGGCTTTTTGATCGAAATTACATGAGGAGTAGAGAACAAAAAATGCGGATTTTGGCCAAAAATCAAATGCGGATTGCGGATAGCCGTCCAAAATTGCGGTACAAAATGCGGAAATACGGACGGCTGGTAACACTGCGCACTGAACAAACCAAAAACAACAACAAGCGCCAGCAATAGCAAAACACAAACAGCGACAGCAGCGCCAACGGCGGGCGCGCGGAGAACTAGACGTTTAAACTCAGTTAATGTCAGTAACACTTGTCCTCTCACCTTGCAGGTGTGGTCCGCATGGGGCGAGGCGCAGAGCGAGGTGCAGTTGCAGGTGCGCCGGGTGTCGGAGAAGGGCGCAGGCCGCCACGGCTCCTCGGCGAGCTCCAGGAGGCACCGCAAGCGCTCGGGCACCAAGGGGCGGCCCGGCCAGCGGCCCAGCCCCACCGTCAAGCAGCATGACCAGGAGGAGGTGCACCGGCTCATGAGGCTCATCCTCGCGCAGGGCGAGACCATCGCCGGCCAGCTCAGGTACGGCGCTTGCCATCTCCAACGAGGTAAAACGGCACGACGACGGGGCTCCTCGGCTCATCCGCGTTCGTTCACTGCTTTTCAGACGGCTACGCGAACGCGAAGCGCAGATCGAGCGGCTGGAGACCGAGGCGCACCGTGAGAGGGTGGCGCAGCACGGCAAGGACTACGTGCTGGCCGCGTACCTCCGGGACACCGAGGACGGCGATGAGCTCGCCAAGCACGCCCAGGACACGCCCAGGACGAGCAGGCACCAACCCGGCAGGTAAGGCACGGCAGTAGCAAGCGCCAGGATCCCATGTAGCAAAGCTCGAGTTACTTTGATCATTTTGGGCGCATTGGTGTGCCAAACGGCTTTGCTACCTAGGGCGTTCAGAAGAAGGCCAATACTTACGAAAAACTCACTATGAAGTACTTTAAGAATTTTGGCGACATGGAAGTCACGGGTGGAAACTTTCTGCCTTCATTTTGACTTTGACAGTTACTCGCCGTCACGGTCAAAAACTGCATGGAGTCGAAACTACTCCATGGTGTGTTTTTCGTGTTTTAGGGGATGATGCAACTTTCTCGAGTTGAACAATTAATCAAAGAATCGGCCCATTTTTCTAGGCCGGCGGGAGCCCTTCGACCGAGGCAACTGGTGGCGGAGGACGATTTGGAGCACTTCGCCGACGAGTCGGACGCGGAGCAGGAGGGCGCCGCGGCCATGGCGGCGGAGAGCGCGGGCGCCCTACCCCGCGAACCTCCGGAGACGCCCCTCCGCTCCCCGGAGCAGCCGCCCGAGGCCGCCGTCGACGAGGAGGACCTGCGCGCGCAGATCGCGCTGTGGGAGAAGGTGGTGAAGGTGAACAAGCGCCTGGAGCAGCAGGAGGAGCGGCTGGTGCGCCTCTACGTGGGGTTCCGGCGGAGCGCCCCGGACGGGCTGGCCGTAGACGACCGCGACCAGGTGCGGACTTCCCTCGCGCGGCTGCAGCAGGTGGGTGTTCGAGTGGCAGAGCAGAGCGGCGCGCTGCGCGTCCACATCGACAGATACACTAACGCATACTGTTTGTTTCGTAGGACATCGAGGACGGGCGTAGAAGTTTACAGTCCAACGCCGACTTGCTCACGGAAACAGAAGCCCTCCTGGACGCCAAACGGCGACTCCTTCGCCGACTACTGGCCGAGATGGAGGCGGCGGAGCTGGACACGGCGCGCTTGATGGCGGTCAGGGATGCGGCGCGGGACGCCACCTTGGCGGACACGGCGCCTGCCCTCGTAGCCACCCCCATCCCCGTACCGTGCAGCAGCCAGCTGAGCCAGCTGCCGCTCACACAGTCCCAGCCAATCAAGGGCCACGATAACGACTCCAACTCTGACACGGGGCTGAGCTCGTTGCACTCCAGCAGCGAGGAGGGGGTCTACATCCTCGACACCCTTGTCTGAAGTCATCGCCCTGGTCGTCACACCACACCGTTACCATTAATAAATGTAGATCTACCTGGGGCATGAAGGCAGAGGGCCAGAGGGGTGGTCCTTGTTATTTTAATTCTTCCCTGTCAAATGAAGAGTGAGACTGCCTCACTCCGGTGGCATTTTTCCTTGCAATCCTATTGCTTGACTATGTTGCTGTGATAGTGATATGTGATGTAGACTCACTCTTCATTGAACAAGTGTAACTGACAGCACTGCCTATTTATTTATTTAAATATTTAAACCTATTTTACCAAGAACTGGGTAACATGGTTACTCTGGTTTTGCTCTGAAGTACAATAGTAATAAGATGTGCTGGTCACCTCTATGTGTGTTCAGCTCACAAATATATAAATTTAGTTGAGTTGCACAGAAAATGTGCAAATATGTCTTAACATAATGTCAAATTTACAGTGACATTCACTGAAAATGATTACCAGTCATACTAAAAATGGTCACCGTGGCAAGAATTTTATTACAGTAGTAAGTAAAGTTGAAATATGCATGTGGTGACAAATGTTTATTCCAAAGATGCCACATTTGGCAAATGAGATGCAACTTTAAGATACTAAATTAGATGTAACACTCAAGTCTCAAAGAATGACAGTGACTTAATCAAGGTAAACTCTGCTGTTCTTGTTCTGATTTCTGGTATTGAAGAAAGTATTCCTAAACTTCACATGTTACACCATGGGCTCTTGAAAAAGAACTCAGACTAGATCAAATTAATTCTTGGAATTGGAAATCTAGAATCAGAAAACTATCTCCCTGCACCTTGGCAATACTTATGCAACAAGCTTTTAATATACAGAGTTCTGTTTGCACTCAGTTAATTAATGCAATGCATTTGGACTTTCAAGAACAAAATCAAATAACTAAAATTTGACAAGTACTACCTATTTTGTATTTATGTAAATAGTAGATATAAGAGAAATGATTTCAGCCAAGGACTTCTTGGAAGTTAATGGTGCCTAGTCAAACAGATGTTTTGTACAAATGATATGAAAATAAAACAATTACCAAGTTTGGACAATCAGCTCACTTTCCAGTCGCGACTTTACTGATTATCATTTTCCCATGATGCTAAATGACAACAAACCAATTATATTTTATACAAAAACATAAAACTCAATTGATCAGTGCAAAAAAGGGATTTATATTACATAAAATTAGACAAGATTGGATAACAAAACTACTTTCTTCTTTCTTGTCTCTGTTTCCTAAGCATTTCCTCATGAGCATCCTTTTCTGCCTTAGCCAGTCTATAAGCTTCTTCAAATTCTCTATTTTTCTGTAGAGCGTATTCTGATCCAGATGACGGTATTTCATCTTCGTCATAATATGTATTGAATTTCCTCCAACCCTTCTGATACTCCGGAACGGGTTCACGAAGTAGCGAGTTGATCAAGCCTAAATATTTAAAAAACACAAAAACAGATTATTATAAACAAGCACTGATTTTTCTTGCACCGGATACAAACACAGCAAACTCATGAAAGCTACCACAATCGATAGCATCCTAAAAATTGTTTTTAATTATTGCTTTTGAATTTTAAAATAATAATAGATAGTTACCAGCTCGAGTAGCCATCTCAGCCAAATACTTCATTTTTCGCTGCTGCCAACGACACAAGCCAGTTATATTCCTCGGATATAATTTAGCATTGTGGTCCAAAAATTGCTTAATAATGAGAATGTCCTGAAAATTAATAATTTAATAATTTTAGAGGACCTAAGGTGAAACAAATTTGAAACGAGAATGGAAATTTGAAAGATGCTTACAGTGTGTTTCACATCCAGACCTAAGGCACACAATGGGCAGGCTCCTTTTTCATTGTCTGTCTTTACCAAAAGTCCTTCACGGGGAGATTTGATATTGACGCCCTCAATTATGAGAGTATCACCTTCTTGTTTTTCTCGGACTGAAAGATGAATAAAAGCAGAAGTAAACACCAGGGATCAGGAATAAAAAGTACACAACATTTTTAAAGAGATTATCAACACGGATGGTAGAGATGAATTAGTGACAATATATTTAATGAAAATACTGTCACGAAGTACGAAGGTACAATACTAAATAAAATATTTCTACAACTAAAGAAAAATAGGTTAAGTTAAAAATGCACTCACTCTCTTTTAAGGACAACCACGCAGAGACTCCAAAACTGCGCGTAGTTGATTTGATAACATGATGTGAACTAATAAAACTTCGTAATGATATTGACACAACCCTCAGCATTTTCTTGGGCGAAATTGACGAATAGAGAATGCAAAGCTCTGCTTCTCGTTCTTGTATTTGTGTGTTGTTCCTGCGACTCCTGCCTGGAGTCTGGGGAGTGGGGAGTCCTGCCCGCAACAAGACCCTCAGCGAGGCTACTAACCCGTTTCCGGCAACAGCAACGCGCTCTGTTCGAAGCACCAAGGTCCACCTTGCGTTCACTGTCCACTACAGAGAATGGACGGACAGAGCAATAAATGTCATTCTTCCCAATAAGAAAATATTTTTATTGTTTTGATGAACATTGATAACAAAAATTACAAACATATGATAGGTCAAATAAAATTGTGACACATTATGTACAATTGTCTCACATAGAATATCATAAAAATATGCATATAGTAATGGAAGTTAAAAGAAAAGAAGAAATACCTGTAATTTGATTGTGATGTACTGGAATACAGGGCCCAGACAAGGAACTCTGACTTGGAAGTCTTTACCTTAGGTTTCGATTGTTTTATTCTCATTGCTTGCATTGCTGATGCTGATGGTCAGACGGCCATTGCTTCATTGCTTTTATCACTCACAACTTACTGCGTTTTTGCGAGAAAAATTTCACGACAGCATTCATACAGTCTTCTGATTGCCAGCGCTCCATTAATTGTTCACATTCCTTTTGATTTGCTACTGTAAGGGCAGCATGATCTTGTGAACGAAGAAGCCTCTTGCTGTATATGAGAGACTAAACAAAAAAATGTTTACATTAAAATTGGGAGTGTTTTAGTACACTTACAATTGCGCAGTTGTAAGTGTACTCAAAGCATGCTTTATTGATTTTCACTTACTTTAGTTGGTAACTGAGCAATGCTATAAATCTTATCCCAAACGGCACTCCCTTCCTCAGGGCCATAAAGCTCCGATACAAAGCCCCATTCCAATGCTTCATTAGCAGTAAGTTTTTTACCAAAATGTAGAACCTGAGCTGCCTGTTTGTTCAAATGGAAAGTCAGTAGAGAGACAATTTACATTTAAAATCAGTAATTCAACTCAAGATGAGGATGGAGCTTACTCTTGTACTGCCCATTATTTTCGGGAATGTATAGGATGAGCAACCTTCAGGGGTTAGACCCAATGCGATGAACGGAGTAGAAAATGTAGCCTGTGTAACACAAACAAAGTTTTTTTTAAACTCTTTGCATATAATACTTAACAGAGAAGTTGAAAATAAGGGCTTTAACCCCTTACTGTTTTAGATGAGTAGATCAAATCAAACAATGCAAGAGTTGTTGTGGCCAACCCCACAGCTGGACCATTGACAACAGCAATTAATATCTTTGGAAAGTCGATAAATGTTTGAACGTAAGCCCTAAAAGTATCAAATTACATACTATCAAACAAAAAGCGAACAGAGAAAGAGTGATATGTAATCCCAATAAATAATAACTGACTGTAAGTTCTTAGCTGACTCTTTGACTATTTTTTCTAAATTGTTGCCATCCCACTGGAGATAACCATTAAGGTCGTTACCACTACAATAGTAGTCTCCAGTTCCCGTCATTACTGTTACAACAACATTATCATCTAATGCACCAGCCTGTAAGGCCTTAGGTATTTCTGCGTACATCTGTAAAAAAATCACAAAAATTAAAATGCTATCGAAAAACTTTGATGACCAAGACATAAGATTTTATTTTACACATGACGTACATCAGTATTTATGGCATTACGTTTCTCAGGACGGTTCAAGCGAATAATTTGAACTCCGTTCTTTACTGATACTGCCAAAGTCCTATACATGATTGCTTATTATTATGAAGTTCTGTACCTAAAAAGGAAAAGATCATATTAATTAGAGGAATGGCTAATAAACCACTATTTTCATTTGAAACAATGTCACTCATTAAAATTTCAATGAAAGAAAGGCGAAAAGAAAGGTCTGAATTGCATTTACATAAAATATTTGCAAGTCAGCTTATCCAGTTTTGCAATTTTCACCACTCAAAATAAAGTAACCTGTTGATTGCAAGAAAAGTATCAAAAATACTAATACATATAATTTAATTAAATGTTTAACTTTGCAAAAAACTTCAAATCAACAAGAGGTGAGAATTACATGTAACTCTTCAGGTGGGTAGTAAAGTGCACCTTATCTCGAGAGACCACTGTTTTTCCCTGATAAACAAAACCCCCGTATACACTCACTTTACTTCTACAGCGGGGAAGGTGCGACTCTAAACAGTTCGGAATATTCAAACGAAAGAGGGAGACTTCAAGCATGGTCAAACTAATGAAGCTGAGCATTAAAAAATTTCAGACACACTGATTAGAAATAACTTACTGTATTTAAAATTTTCAATTCTTTTATTGCGGTTTCGAAGTTCGAGTCAAGATGTGTACAGCAGGGAGGGCTTCAGCAGACCGGATATTTATCCTTTTCAGTACCAAAATGCAAAAAGAAAATAACGAATCGAAATATTGGCGGCATACTCACTTACAACAGTTTAGCTAACACTACAAGTGTTTTTCTGTTGAACCTCTCAATTCTGTTTGCTTATTTGTTCTTTACTAACATTCTATTCGGATAAAAGTAACACTTATTTTGTGTATGTTGTTGGCTAAAGCGGTGTAGCATGGGTTACGAAATGGAGTAACGCATTCTGCATGCGCAGAAGAGTTGACCGACACCAAGACATTTAAAGGTAATTTTGAGTTTGTTTGAAATTAAGCAAGTGTAGTACTCGACAAATGTTGTGAAAAAGAGTTCAGAGAATACGATGGTTCCATATTCGAGCTATTTTTCATTAGGAACTCGGTGAAATGTTGTTAGATTATGATGGTCTAATCGGTTCGTCTTGCAGCCTAAAAAGTAGGCCTTGAGAACTTTGTTGATGACGGATGAGAAGTAGGTTAGATGGGTAATTTATCTCGTTTTCGGATGTGGTATTGTCCAGGGGAGCCTTTGCCTATTTTCAAAGCAAGTCTTGAGACGAAAAAACGGTCCGTCTCCAATATTCTCTCATCAGGTGATGGTCCGTGACGTAGCCATGTTTAAGGTGCATCTATTTACTGACTGAAAACTCTATCGTTAATTCGACCTTAGTTTACTTTATTCATTACTTGTTGAATTTTTTGTAATGCCATTTATCAAGTTTGTGCATCAGTGCCCTGAGCTTGACGTACTGCTCAATATAATCCGTACCGACTTTATCCGGGGTTATGTTGCACCAGCGCAGTGTTCTTGGTGCATCGCGTACCTGTCAGAGAGATGCACTTTACTGCATTAGTGTTACTCCTACACCAATTTTTTATGAACTGAAAGAACCACTTTTAATTTTTTGTCTCTGTATCTCGTGTTTGCGAGCTTCAGTTTACTTGCACCTGTGTTGTTTTGTAATAATTTTAGTGTTTGTGTGTTCTATTCCATCCCCCTCTCTTTACTTCATACATGAATGCCTTTTCACGCTGTATTGCTTTGTTTTTGTTTTCGGTCATAGGCATTTAAGCATCATTATAATATCATTTATGACAATGTTTTTAATACTGTGCTGCCATGTCCACGTAATTTTCTGCCCTAGTTCAGTGGTTTTGCTGACTGCTCACGTGAGCAGTTACCGAAGCACTTGATTTCATTTACTCCAATCAGTAGTGTAAATCTATCAGTTGTAGCATCTCATTTGTATATACATAGTTTTTGATGTTTAACTTTCATCTCTTTTCATATGAGTTCAGTGAAAGAAGTATTTTGAATCAAACCAGTCTCAAGAGCTTATGTGAAAAATGATCTTTTCTTGTGACTAAATCAACAAGTCCCAATTCTTTAATTATTCAATCGACTTCTGATATTGCTTTGCACTGTGTTTTAGCTGTTTATTGTCAATTGCATGTCTTTGAAATGTCTATGTCATAGTTGGTTTTTATTGATTGATTGATTTATTATTTTCTTCATGGTATTTTTAGCACCCACCTCCTTTTCCTCATTTAACCTTTTTCCTGTTTTGTTTTTGTTTGCAGTTTCTTTTGGATTCAGTGGGCTTTTTTATCACACCAAGCTTTCATAGTTTTGAGACTTCTTAGCTATGTTTTTGTGCCTATCTGGCAGAGCTTAGCAAAGGTGTAGCGTTGCACATTGCACAATCAGCCATGGAACAAATGGAGCAAGTGGGGACCTCGGGGCTGCCACCCCTTCTGCCATCGGTGCCGGTTCCTGTACCGGTTGCTGATTCAGAGCAAAGTGTAGATCAAGTTGTGGAGCAAGATTTATGTAGTCTGACAGAACTGGTTCCTGTACGTTCGAAACAGCACACCTCTGCTTCAGACCGGATATTGGCAGTTGAAGAAGAGGAACTAGTGGATGACCCTTTGGAGGAACAACTAGAGGAAGAGATGCAGGAGGATCCATCGCCATCTGTTCAAAAAATTGGTCAAACTTTGATGGAAATTGTTGTCAGTAAGTTTGATACATCTGAACTTTCACAAGAGGATCCTCACCCTGATAATGAAGAAGATCTGAACCCAGGTTAGAGTCTTGAATAAGTGCTCGCTCACTGTCTTTTGTTCAAGTTTTATTTACAATTTATTGTTACAGATGTACCACTTGAATTACCATCAGAAACCTCAGACACAAATTCAGAAGTTCGCCCTGACACCCCATCAGATGGGAGGTCCCAATCAAGCACTCCAACATTCCAAGTTCCTCCACATTTGCTTGGTAGGACTGTTGAAAATCCACAATCTGACATTCCTCCTGGAAGACGCACTCAGAAGCCTCGACTTGGTGTGAGAGTCCCATATCGAAACCTTACCAGCCAAATTGTAACTCAAAATGAGATTGCACAGGAAATATTTGAACGTACCCAAAAGAAACACCCTGAAATGGTGCAGGGTATGGTGCCAAAAGGTGAGATAAATTTACCTATCATGCCTTATGTTCTACCTGGTTTACAGTCTAAAGAGTTATTTTCCTTTTCTAGGAGGCATAGCTAACTCTGATTTATTTACACGGAAATTGACTCAGCGCTTAGCAAGTTCAATTACCGCTCCTACTGCTAAACCGAAGACTGCTATTGTTCCTGAGTCCATTGGTACTCTGAAAGCTCTGCTTCCAAACCATCCAAAGGTATCTAACCTGTTGAGTTTAAATGCTCTGTGTTTTCTCATTTTCCTCCTTTTGATTCCCAAGGCAAAATATTTGCAATTTACTTTATTTTTAATTTATTGTCATGTTCTCCAGCAACCTGGTGCTGCTGCTGCAGCCATAGTTGATGGTGTTCGACTTTCACCTGGCTTCACATACAACGAGAAGGACAAAGCTATGGATGATGCGGAATTACTCTCTATTCTTGAAGGAGATGGTGATCCACTTTGGCTGCCTGATAAATTACTCCGTAAACCAGAAAGCTCTCAAACAGGCTCTTCACCTACACCTCCTGCAACAAATGCAATGCCAGTTCTTACTCCCCCTCCACCCCCTAAACTTGATCCAGAGGTGGAAAAGACTCTTGCCTTAAAGCAATTAATGGAACTTCCTACTGCCTTTCCCCCTAAGAAACCTGAGAAGAAAGCTGTGAGTTGAACAATTTTTCTTTCTCTGTATTTTTTATATCTATCTCTAAATATCTCTTACAAAATATTTCACTTATTTGTGTTTTTTTCTTTTAGGAGTCTAAGCGTAGTCGAAGAAGAAGTGGGAAAGCTAAGCAAGATGGTGGGGAGAATGAAGAAGGTGTTGTAGTGCCGCTCGCCACACCAGAGACTGGAAGTGTCAACCAACTTGCTGTTGAAGAAAATGGTGGTAATGCTGAAAATGCTCCTCCTGTTACTACTCCAGCTCCACCTGCCAAAAAAGCAGTATCAAGCAGGAAAAGAAAAATGACACCCGAGGTTGCTGCTGTTTTGAAGAAACCTAGGGTATCTAAGAAAGCTGAAGCAGCAGCCAAAAATGAAACAAATGCAAAAGTCGATCCTAAGGCGGAAGTTCTTGGTAAACTTGACGCTGCTGAAAGTGTGGCTAATGGCAAGGCAAAGGGAGGAAAATCTGCTACTCCAACTCCTCCTGTTGAGTCTAATAAAAAGAAAGTTGGTGGTAACAAGAAAGCAACACCCCAATCAAAGACTGAACCTGAACCTGTGGTAACAAATGGAAATACTGAGACCACCATCAAGAAGAAATCAGTAAAGAAAGCTGGAAAACGAAAACCAGGAGACACTACTCCCAAAAAGCCTGCTGTCAAAACAACACCGACCAAGACTGTGAAATCTCCCAAGGTTGCCAATAAAATGTCTAGTGCTACAGCCAACAAGTCTCAAGTACCACCACAATCACCAAAGCCACAAAAGTCAACAGAACTGATCACTGAGGCTGAGGAAGTTTCAGAACCACCCAAAGACCTGTCGATGGAAGTGGTGGAAGAAGAACCAGCACCCATCTTAGAGCCACCGCAAGAACCTGTGGAGAAGGAGAAGGAGCCACAGTCTCAAACACCTCAAAAGAAAGCAACACGCATTAATAGAGAGCTTGAACATCTATTGGGTGATGAAGGTGCTGTTAACATGCTGTATGCTGTGGAGGGTCACAAACGCAAGGGATCTAAAGACCTTGCTCTTAAGGCTCGTCTTGTAAAGACAGCTGTTATGCGGCTCAGCTCAAGTCCTCAGGGTCACATGCCTCTTGCTTTGCGGGCCAGACGCAGTTTAAATGTAACTGAACCACCTAAGCTTGTGAAGATGAGTGGAAGTCGCAAACAAAGACATCATTCTTCTGAATCTTTGGACTCTATGAGATCACCTCCTTATTTGACACCAGTTGAAAACGTTTCATCTCAAGTATTCCCTCAACGGCAAAAGTTGACTGCCGACGATTCTCGTATTATCCGCCGCCATTCAACCAGCAGCTCGTATTCGAGTCCTGATGTAAGCCCCCGTCGAGCGAGTGTTGAAGATGGTAGTGCTCAGAATGCTCCAGGAACATCTGGTAGCCCTAGAAAGAAGGGAGTACCAATCTTTGTTCGGGATAAGGCCAGAAACCTGACATATGATGGTATGAAAAAACCTAAAGTTGTGAATCCAGTTGCTTTTGATTCAGTACTTTTGAAAGAACAATTGCTTGAGCTGAGCAAGAAACCAAATCTCTTACCAAACCCAGCTGCTATTAAGACTAAGGATCTCAGAAAACTAAGTGAGGTGAATGGAAGAGTTAAAACAGAATTATTAAAAAAGATGAAGAAGGGACTTGATTCTTCTTCTGCAATTGCAAAGAAGGTCATCAAACTTCAAAGAGCCCAACTTTTGGCAGAGAGGAAGGCTGCAGAAGAAATTGCCAAAGCTCAAAAGGTTGCAGAAGAACTGAGACAAGTTCAGAAAGAGGTGGATGATCTAGCCGTGGAAGATGAGTTACCCATTACACCAGTTGTCATCAAACAGGAGGGCAAAAAGAACTCTGCCCCTCAGAGCCCTGATGCAGCAAGTAAGTTCATTCCTTTTAAAAATGTTTTATCTTTGAAACCGGTGGAAATTATTATGAGGGTAATCTAATCTTTAGCAAAATTCAAATGAGATGAATTGGAATAAAATAAAATTAGGACTTGTGCAAAACTTTTAAGAAATGGGTGAAAACACTTTGAAAGCAAATATTATTTTTCCTAGCTTGTAAATATATTACAAGCACACCATGAAGTTGTGACTATTGTCTCAAGAAATATTAAAACCAAAAAGTTATTTTAGGAAGCAATCTAGTTAAACATCTTCGTATGGCTTCCTGAATCCATCTTTTCGGCCCTAACATAGTGACAAGATAGATGGTTAAATGAATTCCTAGTAATGGTGGCAACAACTTTGTGGTACACTTTTACTTTTTATGAGCTGGTTAAATTTTGATTATTTGCTTTATCACTCTTTTGTTAAAATTTTCACAGCAGTCCCCAGTGAGTTGTTTATATACGCTACGTTGAATGGTAAATCATGTTCCTTTCAGCAGTTTCCTTTTCTTGGGGTGGGCTTTGGCATTTGCAAAATACTTAATGGGTGTCCTAGGTATCCTAAATTGAGCCACATATTTCTCTCCTCATGTTGATAAGCGCTCCCTTGCGGACTGACTGTAAGTTGAATCATCTACTTGACGGATTTCTAGAGCTCAGCCAAGCTGTGTGAAAATAAATTCTTCTACCTACATCAGTTTACTTCAACCACTCTTGGTCATGAGCTCTAGCCTCCAGAAGTATTACTTAATTCACATATTGCCACTGTATTGGCATGAAGTAAATCATATTATTTTGCATGGCTTAGATGTTTTAAATTCAATGGCTGTGTCTCTTAAAAGACTTTTTTATTTTTTTATTTTCAATTTCATATTTGAACATTAACAGTAATCACTTTTTGAGACAAGCATGCCAAAGATTTTGTACTTGGTACTTCAAACTTGTAATCATTCTCTTTTCACCGTTTTGTGTGTTACTTAGTAAAGCATGAAAGACTTGCATGTTGTTTCGACTTAGTAGACATTTTGGATTATGTTGAGGCTAAACTATAATTTTGTTCCTTTTGTCTTGCTCATAAGTAGCTTGCTCTCACTATGCACTTGCCTAGCCTCAACTACTAAAAGCAAAACTTTATGAAATAAATTACAATGCTTAACTTACAAATGTTTATTGATAGTTAACATTTGCTATCTATGTACTTAATTTAGAGTGGCTGGTATATTGTAATTTTATTTGCAGAGTTGTGTTGTTTTTTTTTACCCATGACAAGCACTCACAACTGCTATGTTAAAGCACATCGCCTTATTAGACAAGCTGATGCTAGTTTAAACTTTGACTCAGCTTGTGTCCATACTTTGCCTGTAGAGATGAAAAGTGTTTATAATTTACCCTGAAAATTCCATAGTCTGAAAACTTTGTTGTTCAAGGTCATTTATCTTGATTTTTCTCATCTCAAATAAGCATTTGCTATGTATTTGGTAAAACTCAAAACGAGGTGTTGTGTCTCTAGCATGGTTGTAGTAGAAATGTACTTGTTGTTGCTTTGCTGTGGCTGTTTTGGTTTGGAAGTGGCAATATGTGATTTATTTTGCAGGCGAGGCGTGCAAGTGCACTTATGGTGCTTGTTTGGCCAGCTGTGCCCGCTGCGTTACGGGACCCCTATTTTGTGTGTCTCCGACAGGCTACTCCAACCTGCTGAAGAGTCTTCATCCTAAGGGGAAGAAGAGTCATGAGGAAAGACAGCGAGCTACTGCCAGACACTGTGCTGGCACCTACAACTACAAAGAAATCACCGTACGCCGTTATGATAATGTGGTTCATGTGATTCTTGCACCAGTTTCGACCAAAATGAGCAGTTCGTTGAACATTCAGGTATCGGAAACTTCCAAAAAATGTATTATTGGTGTATACTATAAGTTATTGTTTTATTGAGGCATTATTTTCATTTTAGGTTCTACGTGAACTACGTGATGCCTTGCAACAAGTGCGCAAAGATGATCAGTGCAAAGTGGTTTTATTAACATCATCTGGATCAATTTTCTGTCAAGGAATTGATGTATCTGGCCTCATTCAAAGTAACAATGAAAAGAGAAAAACAGCTGCATTTGAAATGTCCCTGGCTCTTAAGTATGATTGATCTTCTTGATGAGGACATGTTACCTTAATTTGCTGATATTGTACATTAACACTTTATTTTACTCTACTGTCTTACAGGGATTTCCTGAAATGTATTGCTCACTTCCCCAAACCAGTAGTTGCGGGTGTGCAGGGAGCAGCAGTTGGCCTTGGTGTTACAATGCTTCCTCTATTTGACATGGTGTTTGCCAGTGACAAAGCAACTTTCCACACTCCTTATGCTCAAATGGGACAAGTACCTGATGGTGGAGCTACACTCACGCTTCCATATATGCTTGGGCATACTGCTGTTAGTAGAATTTTGGAAGTTATCCATAATCTCTCATTGCAACATATTTGTCTCAATCTTGAAATTCTTTCTTCTGCAGACAAGTGAGCTGCTTCTAAATTGCCGCAAACTCACGGCAAATGAAGCTTTGAAATGTGGCCTTGTAACTAGAGTTCTCTGGCCTGATAGATTCATGGAGGAACTAATCCCAATAGTCAAGAGTATTGCTCAGCAATCAGCCCAGGTATGTAAATTCCAATGTGCCTTCCCGGCTTTGCTTCGTGGCATTACGGTGTTTTGTTTTGCAGTGTTTCATTGTAGAAAAGTGTAGACTCTCTCTCTTTCTAGTTTTTATTAGTTACTATTCTTTCACAAGCTATATTTTATGACATATCTCACAGTACATGCTTATAAATTCCGCGTTAAAACTACTGCGGGTAACAGAATGCTTGATAAGCTTCTCCATCATACAACAACTCGTCAACCATGACCAAAGTCCTGTCTGTGTTAAGACAGAGGTGTCCTGTGGGACATGAGCAATTGTAGTATACCGAAAAATAATCTGCCCTAATGTTACCACAAAATTCATAGCTGGAACACTTCTCCATCTGAAATCAGAATTTTGATTAAATGCTAGATTTCCAAGGAGAAATTTTGACAAATCTGGAATCTGTTGTATTCCTTTGACTTACTGGTTTACATTTGTAATGAGTGATAACTGTTGCAGTTCCTTTTTCTGGACTTTGAATAATTTGTCTTTGAGGTAGTTCTTCCCACACAAACGAAATGGGACAGAAGCATGACACATTTACTGATAACTTTTTTTCCTCATCAACTGCCGGAGTTAGATCGATATCTTTCATCCCTGATGAAGCTGTCGTTGTCACAGTGAGCGCAGGCTTTCTCTGGCTACACTCGGGAAGGTCACGCACTTCATCACAGAACTGTAACATAAATTTTGACTTTTAGTACGTCTTCTACTCAAGTTTTGCCTTACTAGCTGTGATTTAACAGTATTTTTGCTATGATCCAAACCTTAAGTTGGCTTCTACTGTCGAGATGTATAGTATTGTTATCTGGATTATCAGTCCATACCCAAGGACATTCTATCCTTCGCAAGCATCGGCACAACCTCTTCACAATCGTTTTCCTCCAGAAACGGTTATGCAACACACTACAAACGGCATTTGGTGGGCATATTGGCAGATCTCTCTCACTGACTGCCTATAGAATATCAGAATAAACCCATATATACATATCTACTACTCCATTTGTAATGAAGAAAAAACTAGAAAATAAGCTTTTGTTGCAATACATACTGGACCAGGGTATTCAAAGTGTGCATTGAGAGATTCATCATTAAAAGATGCAAAGCACCGTCCGCTTAAAAAGAGAATAACACAAAAAATCAACACTTTCACAAGAGCTTTCATGTGCATCCTGCCTTCTTCCTGCATGGTGCTCATCTGGCTGGTATTCTTAGAACGTGGTTAGTCCTGTTCTCCCAGCAGCCCAACAGCAAAATGTAAACAAGACATGCTGAAGTTTACAAACATCTCACACACAAGCACTGCAATTTAGGTTTAGTTTTCTCAACTTTTCTCATGTGTATTGTTCTTTGTGATACTGTATAGGTATTATAGATAATTTTTTTCTTTGTTTTAAACACACAATTTTATTTGTTGTATTTATTATCTCTTTTTTTTCCAGTCCATGGAGGCTACCAAAGCACTTTTACGGCATGGTCTACGTACCAAGTTTGATGCTGCTTTGGAATCAGAAACTCATCTTCTTGTGGAACATTGGACAAGCAAAGAGTGTCAGTTATCATTTCAGGGCATGGTTGAAAGTGGAGCAGTTACTCTTCAACGACAACGCGCGACAGATGCCTAAGACCTCATTCTGCAACTCTTATCATATGACTAGGTTGTGTGATGCCAAATATTCATTGTGAACAAGTGGTTCAGAAAGTTTAATCATAAGCTGTCCTCTGAACTGCAATCAGCATAATTCACGCGGGCGTTTCCTTCCATTTTTTTTTTTTTAAAGAAAAGTTTTCCAACTCTCCTTTTTAGTTATATTTGTCATTCTTTGTTTATTTTGTTATAGATATTTTCTGTTACATCTCATGTAAAACTACAATCAATCATGTTACTTCGTCAGTTTCAGTGCAGTCATGTGTTGCTTTCTGTCATTCTTAACAAATAACTTTTTTGAAACAGTTCAAAATGAGAACCACTTTGCCTATAATACATTTAGTAGGTAGGAAAAGTTGTCCCTCTGGAAAGATCAATAAACTAGTCTAGAATCAAGGAGAGGAGGAATGTATGTATTGTACATATATATATCAAGAAGTAAAACTATTGTGTCCCAGCTAAAAGAAAAATTTGGACTGTGTAGACATGCTAGTAATGGACTGTTATTCATTTCCTGTTGTACCATAAGAATTCTATCAAAAGTTTACTTGAAATTGTATATAAGATGTTATAGAAATTTCAGTTGTTGCACTATATTTAGTCTAAATTTCTTTATTGGTGTGTTGAAATTTTACTCCTTTTATTTGGTACAGAGTTTAAAACTGTGCATATCTTCTTTGAATCAAGTAAGCAAAGAGCTTTTAAAGCTAGAATTTGCTGCTCATTTTTGTTTGGTTTATCTTCAGCCGAGCCAAGACCAGAGCTCACATGCAACCATTACCATTACTTTTATGTAGTAATATTGCTGAGTGGTTGCCATCTATTTCTAATTTTAGAAGATATTAGAACAATTGTGCTGAACAGAGGGTATTATAATCGAAGTGAGGTGAGGTTATGCAGTCTTCAAAACCAGGAAAGCAGTTGTACTGGACAGACTTTTAAATTGATAAGGGTATTAATGTAAGCCTTTCATTACTAGAAAGTTATTTTGGTAGATGTATAAATTCAGAGTATATAGAAAGTTGACAATCTTTTTTTTCTTTCTTTGTGCAATGTTCTTGTGACTGATGGAGAGTTTTTTATTTCTTGTTTTTATTATTTCAAGAACATTCTGAATTGTTATTCATTTAGGTAGGCATGACTTGCAAGCTTGCTGATCTCTACTGGCTTAAGAAAGGGGGAAAAATTGGACCATATGCCAAGAGTGTAGGCTGCAAGAAGATTTGGTCTTGTATTATTTTATTCAACTCTTCTGCCTCTTATTTCATAGCTCTAAGTGTTCTCTTGTCATTCGCCTTGTGGGCCTTTCACATGTTTTATCATTATTGATGTGCCTTTCCCATGTGTTAGCGAAATTTTGTGCCTTTCCTGTTGTCTGTTATCGTGTGTCTGTTCATTGTGCATTTTGTTAGTTACATATATAAATGCACAGTAAAATCAATTATGTTTTAAATCTTAATTACTGTAGCAGTTATATCTGATTTCAATAGTTATTTCTTATGGTCAAAATTAGAGTCAATGTATTGATTCACTTAAAAGTTTGTTTCGCACAATGAATCTTTGTTGTATTATTGCATGTACAGTATATGCTTCATTGCATGTGAACCCGGCACCCCCTCAATATCTGTGAAAATATCACATGTAGAGCATAAGATGAGCCTTTACTTATGCTGTACATAAAAGCATTACAAATAAAGTTGTAATATGTGGATTCCTATCTGAAACATGAAGCAATTATTTATTCTCTGAAGGAGACGCGGTCCGCAAGCCTCTTCTGGAAAGATGCTTTACGGAGCTCTGTCCGCTAGATGTTGTGATTGTGGAAGACGCTCGTTGTTTGCGCATCTCATTGGCGAGGCAACACACAGCTGTGCGTGCACCGGGTCGAGGCGAGCGAGGGTCGGGTCGGGTCGGGTCGGATAATTCAATCACCCACACGGTCGTCTCCGCCCCCGCCTCGACCCCGCATCCCCACACATACTACCAAGCACGCCAGATGACTTCCATGCTTTCATCCGACCTTCCCGACGCGCGTTCAACTAACTCCACGACAGTAAATTAAGCCCAGGTCCCTCACCGTGGACAGCAACTACTTGAGAGAGCTGGACTACCACACTCGACATTAATTAAGACAGGTACATCGGCGTAGATACGGTTGGACCAAAAAGCTAAGGCCTAGTCACACTGTCGCTCTCAATTCAATCTCGGTCGGCGCCTTGCGCGCAGGCAACCCATCCGGCAGCTGTGCCGGCCTGGCCCGCCCTGCCGCGCCCCTGACTGTGATTGGTGGGGTGGGAGCCGCGCCTCCCCCTTCACTTGGGGCCAATGCTGCACCCGGCAGCTGACGCGCTGAATCTTGCACGGCCACGGCCCTTCCCAGGAAGCCCTCTCGCTCGGGTTTCTGTTTCTAGAACGGGCACGTGCTCGCGGGGAGAGATTTTTGCGTCCGTCAGATTGTCCTCCCCGGACGTGGGTGGGCGGCGCGGGTTGGGGTGCGCGGAACAGGAGCTCGCTGCGATGTCGCTGACAATTAGGAGACATGGCGTTATTGCCCACTCGACGGGAGAGTGCTCGGCTCCCCTCCCTCGCTACAAACGGTCCGCACTAAGTACGAGCTGTTCATCGTGATGCTGGGGGTTTGAGCAGGAGGTGGACCTAGAAGAAACCTCGGTCCCAAGCCCCGCCAGTGCTAGTCTACCCTCTATACCGTCGGGCCGGGTCGGTAACTCGGGGAGTAAACTCGTAACGCCCCGGAGCCGGGGAAGTGAGGGCGCCGAAGATGAGATGCAGGGTAGTTTGTTCTGCCGGCCGCACACAAACACACTGTCACAGCGCGGAGCGGCCGGAGCGGCGCGCCCCCGCGCGGCACATCTGCCATCCTTTTTGTTCTCCCTCCCCCATCCTCTCTCTAGAGTGAGGGGAGGGAAATGCAGCGCCCTGCTCCGCAGCGGTGGTTGTTTCATTCCTGCAAGATCGCCTTCCTAGACATTGCTTCCCTCCCAATTTTAAGAAAAACTAAAAATTAAGGAATTCAATTAAGTGAAAGATTTGAGTTACACACAATAATGCAGTCCAAGGAAATGCCTAGTAGTTTATGTGGTTTATGGCAAGAACGAACGAGACGGCGCCGACGGCGGTGGTTGAGAAAAGAAAGGGACCGCGAGTCTGTGTTGTTTCATCGGTGGTCTCTGGTGATGCGATGCGATGGGGTGGCGTTGGCGTCGCACTGCGTGGGGAGAAGATACAGTTAGCTTTTAATCTGCATACAATATCAAGTGAGTCCACCCCTCGCCGCCCTCCTCACCACCAGGCGCCACCCATCAGGCGCCACCTGCAAAGCCCGCGGCCCTCCACTCCCCGCCAGGGGGAGGGGAGCATCCCCGAGGGAAGCCCGGCCCGGCCCTCGCGACATATGCTGCTCGGGGCTGCCCTGCCCTGGCCGCGCCTGCTGTCTGCTGCTGGCCTCCCGCCTGTCAGGCCATGCCGTTCTGCGGGGACGCGGGTTCGATTCCCGACGGGGATGGCCTGACACTTTGACATTTCTCTTCTGAGTGTGCGGTGGTGGCGATGCCTCACGCACGGGCCGACCCCAGGACGGAGGGGTTACAGGGGGAGGATGGGGG